TTCCACAAGACGAGACCCAGGGACCGCAACCGAGGGGCATCTCCCCCCACTCCACCCACCGCAACCAGGTGCCCGCAACCAGGCGCCCTACATACTACTGGCGGGGGCCGCATCACGCGCCCCTACACACACTTCTGGATGACGTCATGCCTTGTGCCTCTCAGCGCTCGGCACGAGAGTACAAGCAATGATACATAGTTAAGTAAAGTAGTATTAATTTCAGTTGTGTATAATGTATCATCTGCTAAAAAGAAGAGAGAAAAGAGCGAGGAGGATGGCGCTTTCCTTTTGGTAGAGAAAGTCTTGGGGACCGTCTTCGTTGACAATAATCAGCACTCTTTGGCGTGCAAGGAGTTCGACGGGCGTGCTCTGGTCGCGAGGTGCGCGGCGGCCTCGGCGGCGGCAACCGCGGCGGCGGCGGCAACCGCAGAGCGAGTCAAGTGCTCCGAAATCGATCTCCTCCAGCGGCCGCGCGCGCGCCTCCGCGATGGGGCGAAAAGAGTGCTCTACCCGCCGAGGGAGAGCGCCGAGTGCTCCAGGAGAGCGCTCTAAAAAGCATTCGAGTCGAGCGCATGCGTCACCGCGATCGCAAAGACTGATCCGCGCGCCCCGCGTGGAGGAGTGGAGATGGGGAGAGGGGTGGGCTCAATGAGAGCAGGCTGAGGAGGAGAGAGAGAGAGAGAGAGAGAGAGAGAGAGAGAGAGAGAGAGAGAGAGAGAGAGTGAGAGCCCGTACGTCTGCGGCGATGTGCTCGCGGAGGTGGGGAACCAGGTCAGGAGCCCGCCAGCGCCGCCGGAGCTCCGCGTGTGTGCGCGCGTAATATTCTAATATTTGAAAAACTAACGAAAATTAACTTTAGACGGAGGCGACAAATTGGATAAATCTATTCACGATATGATATAGGAACAAAATTTATTTCGTCTTTTTCCAATTTATTTTTTTTACAAAAGAAGGAATGGGGCAACTGCGCCGATTGAAGAAGAACTTTTATTCACGTGCCAGTCAGAGAAGCACTACGACGGGTAACATTCATAACCCACCAATACCACCTTGAATAATTGCTACGTCATTGTCTTCGGGATCGCACAAAGAGTCGTGAGTTATTTCGATGACCCACGAGAGCCATTCAGAGTGGCGTTTCGAGGAGGGACATTTGCCGATTTCGTGCGAGAAAAGACAGATTTGCACCCCCGTTCCGACGTGCCTCAACAGCTTGATTTCTTGGTGGCAGTAGCGCTGGCACGACTCGCAGTCTTCCTGGTCGCAATCGTACCGCCCCTGCAGGAGGATGTGGAGAGAGGGGTTGGACAGGAGCGCGGCTTTCACCTCGTCACTGTGGATCCACGAGTGGATGCACGGGATGCCCTCCGGCGGGAATTCCATGAGCTCCTCGAGGAAGTCTGTGTTCACGACGGCCAGGGTGCGCAGGGCCGGCAGCGAGGGTAGCGCGCTCAACAGCGGGCGCACATCCAAGAAGGCGACGAGGGACAGCCGCTCCACCTGTGACTTCCCGGACGAGGCCAGGGCCTCCAACAGCGTTCGGCCGACGTCGGGGCTAAGGCTAAAGGCTTCGCAACGGCGGTCCAGACCGACTTCGCGGAGCTGGTCGGCTCGGCGGAGCAGCTCCGAGGCTCCCTCGATGGCGGCGACGCCGTCGCCCCACTCGGACTCGCACGCGCCGAGCCACAACGCCCTGAGCGTCGTGCACGCCGCCACGGCCTCCAGCCCGGGCATGGTCATGTCGCACCGGAGAGTGCGGAGGTTGGGCATGGCGGCCAGCAGGTGGGCCGGCGACGCGTCCGCCCAGTCGACGGGCTTCTTAAACCACAGCGGACCTGAGCTGATGATGTCGACCTCCTCCAGGGTGGCGCCGTGGCCGGCCAGCATCGTGTTCACGAAGGACACCGAGTTGTCGTCGGTAGCGCGGCATCGGAAAAACTCGAGGGAAGGTCGGATTGGCCCGGCAGTGACGGGCTTGTCGGTTTGTAGTTCAACAGTGTCGATAGTAAGCTTCTTCAGACCAGAGCACGTCGCCAGGGCGCTGACCAGCACGTCGGCTTTGATCTTCTTCTGGTTCATCAACCGCATATCGGAGCGCAGCGTCAACTGCCGCAGGCGCCCGAGCGCTTCCTGGTTCCGCACCGCCTCCGCGTACAGTGGGAACCGTGCGTCGTGTCTGGCGCTGCAGTAGAACCAAGACAAATCAGCTAATAGAGTCAGCTTTGACACGGCGCACTTCGTCGTGGTCATGGCCAGGAGGGTGCGTCGATGGACGAAGACCTCGTCCAGGCGCGGCGCCAGCCGCAGCACCGCGCTGGCGCGCGAGTGGTCGCCCGCGAGTTGCCGGTGACGCCACACGTCGCCGCAGAGGGCGAGGTCCGCGAGCTCCTTGCACACGAGGCGGCAGGCGAGGACGTCCTTCACCGGGAGAAACTGCATCACCGCCACCAGGACGTCGGCCGGAAGCACCGGCAGCTCCACCACGACGATATCCGAGGACATGACGCGTGTGCAGCAGGGGGCACGCCGAAGTGCTGGGGAAACACAAACCAGAGACGCTTTGAAAACGGCGTTTCGGCAGTGCTGATCGGAAAACGAGAATGAGACAATAATAAAAAGAAGCAAACCTAATCGTTCAACACAGGAAATCAGTAAAAGCCTTCAGGCAGCGCTGCGCTTCAGTCACAGCACAGACGCATCGAGCCAGGGAGGTCATCATGCAGGTCATGCCCCCCCCCCCCTTCCGTACCCAAAGCACCCCCAAGAGGCCTATTTGATGCCATCTCCCCCTACGCTACGCCCCTAGTAGCGTAAGAGAAAAAGACAGCCAGAAATGAAAAATAGTGCATTTCGACTAACGGAGGAAGAAAAATAGCGGGTTCCTGACTGGACGAGCGCGCTTACCCCCACTACCGGCGTGACGTACAGAGGCGGGAAGCTGTCGACTAATCGGTAACGTTTATGTTCTACCCGCTATTCTTCCTCCGTTAGTGGACGTCGATCTGATCTCGACAACTCGACTTAATCGTCGAAATCATATTTTTTCGAACAACATCGACGTCGAACCACGTCTATTTCTGTCTGGAAAAGCGTGATCACAATATTCAGTGCCGCAGCTCAACGAGACATTTTTGAATGGGACTATGGTCAGATAATAGTCTGAATATGTATGACATCTCCAAACCACATCTTTTTAACACTCACCCGTACAAAATGGGTGTGCCCCCCAGAGTGGCTACGCTGTGGGTCTCAAGTCTTACGCTCTCCCAGTCAGATGGGCGTCAACGTTTCTCACTGTGCTCCTAATGGGTTTTTCGAACATATCGCAGCTTAAGTGAACAGCACGACAACACAAGCAGACCGAAACCGATCGGCGAAATACAACACATTTCCCCGAGTTGCATAGAACTGTCCCGTAGACAAGCGGATTCAACAGAGGTTAGGTGAGTGACACTAACGATTTATCTACCTTTCTTTCGTGACGGAGAGACACAACAGTGTCAGGTTGATGACCGGATCTTGAGTGTTCGGCCCCGCCACAGGGACGTTTTCAAGGATTTCTTTGGTGACCTTGACCCGTGCTGAATAAGAAGAAACACGTCCAGTACACCACAGTGCGCTCTGACTGCGACTTCTGCGGCTGATGCTGACGATCTGAGTTGAGGTCGTGATCGCCGTATTTCTACTTGCAGCCGCTTCCGCCTGGAGCGCGGCGATCAGATAACAGGGTAATCCCCAAACGCTGTGGATATTCGCCCAAATTTGTGCCTCCAATAGCTACCGCTATTCGCACAAATTCGTGCAAAATTTGGTATCTTGCCCGTCGCTCGCTGGTTTGGTATGGGGGATCGAGGCGTGAGCCGGGTAGCGACAGCCAGGGCAGGGCGTCATACCATGTCGGCGGACACAGTCATGTCGAGCAGGGAGCGCCCCCCCCCC